GAGACTAACAGAAGTATTGGGAGCATGCTTATGCATAAGCATGCTCCCAATACTTCTGTTAGTCTCAAAGGTGCCACAGGACCCTCTGTTGCTTTTTACAGATTCAGACTAACACGGCTACCCCTCTGATACTATTTACAAATGTGTTGTCAATGATGTAACTCGTCAAAAGTTTGAATTCAATATATAAAACGGTTGTAGTGATATAATTATTTGTCTTGTATTACAGAGTACTCATTGGGATTATCAAAGAGTAAGGTAGGAGTCGATGGAGATAACACACTATACCAGAAAACCAATTTTTAGAGACAAATATGCCCTTAAAGTAATACTTACTTTTAGAATTGGATAGCTTTTCAGTGTCTTTTGGGTATGTATTCATGACAGAATGTGCTGGAGTAAAATTCTCACTGTTTTTCTGTTAAAATTTTATACAGAATAATGCTCAATATGCTCAGTTTTATCCAGATTTCTACTCTAATTCAGAAATATGTAAAATTGAATAATTATTTGAATAGAACAAAAGTAGTCTAATTCTTAATGTAATTTTTGTCATGGTATCAAGGCCTCAGTGATCTGCACAGTAAAAATGAAGCTGCTAGGTAGGAATGCGATTTGCAGACTAAAAATCTTTTGTAGAAAATGGAAATGTGATACATAATCCTTTTAATGCTAGGTCTATTATGCATGGTGTCATGTAGTAGTGCTGTATAATTGAAGCAAATGGAATATGAATACATACTTGGCTGTTCAGCAGTATGTTGCAAGTTCATTTTACTTTTTATATGTTCAGCATCAGTTAAAGGGATACTGTCAAAGTATTAGACCCTCACATTTGCTTATCTTAAACTAAATGTTTTTCTATGAAGATGACTGACTGTTCTCTTCTGTCTAATCACTGCCAAGTGGTACTGAAAGAGAATTTTTGTGACTGCCACAAACAAATTTTTGTTATGATAGAACACTGAGTGGGTTCTACCAGATGTCTTAATTATGATTTTAATATCAAATTTCTAGAGTATCTTACCCCAGAATGGTTTACCCTTTGTGTGTACACACACATACATACCCACCATTAGGTTGATTTGACATGATTTGTTCTTGACAAGTCTATACTGACTGTTACTTATCACCTTATTATCTTCTAAATGTTTGCAAATTGATTGCTTAATTATTTCCTCCATTATCTTTCTGGGTACAGAAGTTAAGTTGACTGGTCTGTAATTCCCCAAGTTGTCCTTATTTCCCTTTTTATAGATTGGCACTGTATTTGCCCTTTTCCAGTCTTCTGGAATCTCTCCCATCTTCCATGACTTTTCAAAGATAATCGCTAATGGCTCAGATACATCCTAAAATACTCAATGAGCTGATTGAGGAGGTATTTCATCAGGCCCTGGTGACTTGTCTAAGTAATTTTTAACTTGTTCTTTCCCTATTTTAGCTTCTGATTCTAGCTCATTTTCACGAGCATACACTATGTTAGATGTCCAGTCGCTACTAACCTTTTGTGTCTCTCAAAGTGATTCATAGATTCCAAAGCCAGAAGGGACTATTGTGATCTTCTAGACTAACCTCTTGTATAATAGAACTTCCCCAAAATAGAATATATTTTTTAGAAAAACATCCAGTCTTGATTTCAAAATTGCCAGTCATGGAGAATCCACTATGATCTTGGGTAAATTGTTCCAATGTTAATACCCTCATTGTTAAAAAAAATGCATTATTTCCAGGCTGAATTTGTCTAGCTTAAATTTCTAGCCATTGGATGTCTCTGTTAGATTGAAGAGACCATTATTAAATATTTGTTCCCCATGTAGGTACTTAGACTGTAATCAAGTCACCCCCCGACCCTTCTTTTTGTTAAGCTATCTAGAGAGCTCTTTGAGTCTACCACTATGAGACATGCTTTCTAATCTTTTAATCATTCTCATGGCTCTTCTCCAAACCCTTTCCAGTTTATCAAGGACTAATGCAGTGGTTCCCAAACTTGTTCCGCCACTTGTGCAGGGAAAGCCCCTGGCGGGCCTGGCCGTTTACCTGCCGCGTCCGCAGGTTCGGCCGGTCGCTGCTCCCGGTGGCCGCGAAAGGTAAACAGCCCGGCCCGGCCCGCCAGGGGTTTTCCCTGCACAAGCGGCGGAACAAGTTAAGGAACCACTGGACTAATGCATCCAAAGCCCTTTTTGCCACAGCATTTCACTGGGAGCTCATGATCAGCTGATTATCCACTACAACCCTCAAATCTTTTTCAGAGTCACTGCTTCTTAGGATAGAGTTCTCCCATCTTGTAAGTGTGACCTTCAAGTATTTACAGCATTTATTGATATGTGATCTCCATTCAGGTCTGTCTTTGAAGTTATCAACATTTATGCTGCACAAGTTAAGATTCTGCTTAGGGGTGACTTTGAAGTATTTACATTCACAGTCATTCCTGTACTTTCCAAGTTTCAGCTAACCATAAATGACTCTTTTGGAGACTCTATCATCATCCTTTCTGATAACATGACCTGTCCATTTAAGTTGAACTTTGATAACCATTGCCTTGATGCAGGTTATTTTTGCTCTTTCAAGGATGTTATATGTATATTAAGGCCTCTGTCTCAACCTATTTGTTGTTACTAACAGCAAACGTGCCACACTTTTCCAGAATGAAGATATTAACCTAGGTCCTGGAATTTGTCTGGGACTTTAGTTAATATCTTCACTCCGGAAACGTATGGCATGCTGTTAGGATGAGACAGAGGCCTTGACTATGTTGTTACTAACACTGGCATCTCACTTCCAAATAGTGCACTTGCTCCTTATGATGAGGTATTAGTTCATTATTGAATTGGAGGAAGAATGTCACTGAGAATTCTTACTCCTCAATAATCCCATTGACTTCAGTAGGACTAAGTAAATGGAGTAAGGTACTATTTAGCACGTTTTAAGGGTTTCAGAATCTAGGTTATAGTGAATTGCCAATACAACTTCTCTCAGGATTTAAGTTTGCCTTTGAGGATTCTCCTCCAAAAATTATCAGGCCCGATACTAGTTATCTTGAGATCACGGTCCAGGATGCATGTTTTTTAATTAATGTATTTTACCAGCTGGCTGAAAAAAGGAATGAAAGTATCCTCATTCTTTCACAGGCAAAGCAAACACACTTAAGGCTTTATCACAAAATGTATTTACCTTGACAACTGTCGCATATTTTTTCATTTTTAAAAGATGCAAATGCAATGGGCATGAACAGACTGGTAAATAATAGGAACAAAATAGATGTTACATTTTGTATTCATTGTTTTACTTACGTTCATTTCTTAGGTGTTAAGAAATGCTGTACATATTGGTGAAGCTGAAGTGGAAAAATGTGTCCTGGGTATAATGAAAGAAAAGAAGATAAATATACAGAAGGATACAGGGTATGTTGTTTGCTACTGTTATACTGGTACTTCTGACTGGACCACATAATTTTACCTTTTATAACATTGTATAGGTATGTGACAAGAGATTATTAAAGGAATCACTAATCTGATACTGTTATTTGGGGAATACAGCACATACATCATACTTTGCCATTCAGTTTTAAGGATTTAAGATGTATAGATGACGAGAGTGCATATGATGTGGTATGATAAAAAGGTTTTAGCAGCATGAGTTTGGGATAACTGCATTACTCACAGTTGACCAACCCACAATTAAATTGTACTGGTCATCTCAATCAAATCTTTACCATATCGTCCTGTATGACCTCTATTACATATTGTTATTTTAGAGAGTTAATTTAAAATAAAAAACAAAACTTGTTAGATCAGTTTCTTTTGTGTCTCTCCACCTGTAACAGTAAAGGCCTTGAGGAGGGGAAAATTATAACTAATTTAAAACAACTCTAAAAATGATCTAAAGAAACTTTTCTGTACATAAAAACCATCCACAGTTTCAAAGTTTCGGATATCTTATGACCTTTAAATCTAGAAGCAAGTGTGGCATTTAATGTTGGAAAGCTTTGGTTCTCCCCTTTTCCAGAGATGCAATGTTCCCATTTCTAGCTGTGCAGCATTAAAGTATTGCCCTTAGACTTGTCACTGGAGCTGGATGAAATATTACATACACTAGTCTAAACTTGAGAGTAACATTTTGAGGTGAGGAAAGTAATACATTTCTCTCTGAAGACTTTTTTTTTTTTCCCCAGTTGGGCAAAGCTTGCAGGAGTTTGGTGTGTCACATTAAATATTGCAGGACCTGTACTCCCTTTTTTCTTATGATCTAAGCAATGACGACTCTATGGCCATCCCATCATGTATCCCCCTTAAGCTCCTGTGGGGTTTTTTGTTTTTCAGTTTTAAGACAAGCCTGCAGGTATGTTTGCTGCAGATATCTGGTTATAAGAAACTTTATTTGGAGGTGGAAAATCTGAGGAAAGTTCCATATGATTCAGATACCGAAGAACATGAAAAGCAACTAATCCAGGTGAAGGTGTCTTGGAATTCTGAGTCCTAAACTATTACTAGAATAATTGAATGCTAATAAACTAGCCATAGAAGTTTAGCTTTCTTTAAATTCATAACTATCAGGCTGTTTGGTCTTTATAAACTAGAAGAGCAAAATTGATTTTAAAAATTGGAATAAACCAGCTCTGACAGGTGCCCTTTCAATAAGTTTCTGACAAATGCCCTTTACTAGAAGTCTCCAATAGTATGTGAAAGCTTAATTTATCCCCTTACTACTAAGTCCTTTAATAGCATGTTGGCATTTTAAAAATATTTACTATTTTCAATTGTAAAAGTGACACTCTCAAGTTAAACAATATCCTAAAGCGAATCTCAGACCAATAGATCTTTTTCCCCAAGGGTTTCTTACAGTAAGCTTATTCCATCTGAAACCCCAAAAATAGTGGCACACTTATTTAAAAAAGAAAACCACCAACAAGTCTGCATACAAACAGTACTTGATAATTTATAGTGCTTCAAGAAATGTAATGAGTTTTACAAATACCAGTGAACTTAGCATTCTAATATCCCTGTATATAGATATGTATCCTCACTGTGGCTTTGATCCTTCAAAGACTTATGCAAGTGTTTCAATTGAAGCACGTGGGTAATCTCATTTAACTCAATGGTAGTACTTGTGCTTAAAATTAAGCACTTGCACAAGTGTTTGCAGAATTGGGGTTTACGTGGATGAGGAGACTGACAACCAGAAAAATTAAGGGCCTGATGCTCTTTTACATCCACTTGGGGTCCTTCTGCACTGCCAGAGCAGCATAAAGGGGCCTTAGTGTAAATGAGTATCAGGCTCTAAGGGAGTTAATTGTTCCCTGACTTGGTTATAATTTTAGTATATATCGGGCTTAAGTGAGTTACCCAAGGGAAAAAAGGAAATGTGACAAAACAGAGAATCCACGTCTCCCAATTTTTAGTCTTGTCTTAAATGCAAGATTATTTTATCTGACATGTGTCAATAAGTGTTCTGAATAACATGACTAGGAAAAACATTGGCAGTTGTGTTATTTGTAACATGGAAGTATATTTATGTAGCTTTGGAATTTGCTGATGCCTCATGAAAATCTGAAGGCTAGAATCACCAAGCAGTGGTGTGACATTGGTTTCCAAGGTGATGATCCCAAAACAGACTTCAGAGGAATGGGCATGCTGGGATTAGTCAATCTGGTGTAAGTGAAAATAAATACTTTTCTTATCTAAGTCTTAAATTTTCTATGTCTTTGAATTCTTATTTAGTATTATTCCTAATTCCCTCTGGACTACCTGAGTAGAAGCAAATAGAAATATATTGGCTACTGTAATAAATTACTGAATAATGGAAAATGAACCCCCTTCTAAATGAGTAAACGGTTCTTCAACAGCGAGCTGCATTGTTGTAACCAACTAGTTGGATAGATGGTGGTTTTAGTTACAAATTGTAAGAGTTGAAGAGGAGCAGAAAGGAGTTTAAAACATTCTACTCATGTATGATAGGCCTGCTATGCTATAGCTGAGAAAGTAAATGATCAAAACTCTTCAAAATAAAATTACTACTAAGTTAAAAGTACTAATGATGTAGAACAGAAAATATGAAAACCTGCTTGAATGGGGGAATCCTGAATTCTCTGGAAGACTTCTGTCCCACTGGTCTCCTTTATCATGCCATTCCTTGTTACATATCACTTCCTCTATTTACTTTTATTGGTTTTCATTCTGCACTCTTTCTTCAATACACATTTGTCTACAATTCCATTCTTCTGTTATTGAAAATATTAGATTTAATTAATAAACTGCTTATGTAGCAATCCTTAGATTCAGTTTTTGTTTGCTCCTTTTCAGGTATTTTAGTAAACATTACACCAGTGAAGCTCGCCAGATCCTCTCTCATTCAAATCATACAAAATTGGGGTAAGCCATTTGTATGGGCCTAAGATCTCACAAAGATCTTAGATTTGTAGAGTGCAAGTCTGTATTGGAGTATCTTCTGTTTTTTTTTTTTTTAAAGAGGAAAACATTTGACACTTTCTATAGGAAATTGACAAACTGAATTAATTTCTGAGCATCTGAGTTGAAAGCTGTGTGTTTATAGCTATGTATTTGTTCCAACCAGACTATTTAGTGCCCTTAGTAATCTGTAGGCTTCAGTTAGTTTCGTTCTAGAAAAACACTCCAACCCCTTATTTCCCCCAAAACAGTATGGCTAACAGATTTGGATTGAATTTGGAAGGAAATAGTAATTATTCTTCTATTTAGTAACACAAACTTAGTCAAGATATATGTATTCATGCACGCTGTGCCAAGTGCAATATATATACTTCCATAGATTAAGTGCCCATCCAGTGGCCTGGACAAATCAAAAATAGCCTGTTTATTATCTCTCACTTTACAAGACACTACTCCTCTTTCATCCACCCAATCCCCAGTTAACTCTGGTTTATCTCAATAATTAATATAGTAAGCATGGGAATGTTTCATCTTGTGCCTTGTCATGAATGTTGCCCTATCTAAGTTGTAAACAGTCATCCTACAAAATTAATGAGGAATTCTGCAATGAAAACATATACATGTATCCTTTAACATATTGTAAATTTGTTTTCCAAAATGATGCACTTTTTGTGACTGCTGAACTTATTCTAATTTTTCATCATTGGGCTTTTTAAACAGAAAAAGTCCATACATAACAGGAGCAGACCTAGACCTTGTTACTGAGGTATATTTTCTGTGTTTGGAATTCCATCTCCCTGTGGAAACAGGATATCACGGACAAAGCCCCAAAATGCACTTTATTCAATGACTCAAATTGTGTGTGCAACCGTACCTGATTTAACACATTGTACTCAATAAGCTTTGAAAATTGTATCAAAAAAATGAAAATACATAAGATCTACTTGAGCTTCTGCTGGCTAGCTTTCTTGCTAGAGCAGTGTTTTTGGTAGCTATGATGTTCGTGTTACAGTAGATTTGGAAAGAGGGCAGTAGACCAGATTTAGAATTTTTTTTAAAAAAAGCTTTTTGTCTTTTCTATATGCTTGCTGAGTCTGGATGACTGCCCTTGGCTTCTGGGCAGTGTGGTCTAATGTCAGGATCAATAGGGTGCCCTCCTTTGCAGGGCCATGTGGGCTAGTGGCCAGAGTTACTATGGCCACTCTCCCTCGCAAGGCCATGTGGCCTAATGGCCAGAGTGGCTGGACAGGTGGGCTGCCACCTCAGGACAGGCAGCAGCCAGGGTAGGGGGACCCAGATCCTCCCTACTCCACTGGGTCCCAACCCAAGGCCCTGACAGTGGCGGGGTTGCCCACCTCCTGCTCAGCAGGGATCCTGCCAAAACACACTGAGCCAAGCCCCAGTTCTGTGACCAGTTTCCTGTTAAGTTGCCCTGGTTTACTTCCTACCCATTCTTCCGCAGCTAGTCATCTTGGTAGTCTTAGGGCCTCTCTTCCCTCTTTGGTGTTGGGTGCCTGGGAGTCGCTGGTAGGTGCAGTCTGCTGGGCCTCTGAGTCCTGGAGTGTCAGCTGTCCCTCTGCAGGAACCTGCAGCTCATCTCTGTTCCCTTTGGCAGTCAGCCCTGACTGAGCTGAGTTGCTCCCTTTTATAGCGGGAGCATGCCCAGCAGAGGACGGGGGCGTGGCCTCTTCAGCCCACAGACTGTGATTAACCCCTGCTGAACCAGTGGTGGGCTGGTACTCCCCATCACAATGCTGATTAAACTTTCTATCCTGTTGCCTCTGCATGGTTAATAGGGGCATTCACTACATTGCTGTTGATGAAATTTTATATTTCCTACACAGTCCATCTTCTAACTTCACTATCGTCTTAGATGTACAAGGCACTTTAGACAAAAATGCTCCATACGCACGAGGCAGACTTTGCTTGATTCTTAGAATGACCCAACATGTAGAATAGGAATAAATTGGCAGATAATAATTTGTCTCTATACAAATTAAGCCTGGAAAATGGAATACATTGTAAAAATCAGCAGGAAAATGGATTTCATTAGTATCTAATAGGAAATTTTTTGGTGTTTCAGATATTCCTATGCAATAGTTGGGATCAATTTGACAGAAATGGCTTATAGTTTACTAAAGAGTGGTGCTTTAAAGTCTCATCTCTACAACTTGGTCCCTGGATTGCCACAAATGGAACACTTCCATCAGTTTTATTGTGAGTATTTGTAACTCTTCCCTCCTATAGATTATCAGCGGCAGGACTACCTTCATTACCAAAAGTCCAGGCCTCTACCACTCGAGATAAATGAGTAACTCCTTTAGTTGTTAGCAGTAATATATGATTATAACTGGGCCAGCTATTAGAAGGGCAATTAATTCTCAGCCAGTTGGTTACATATTAAAAATATTTTAGTGCTGTGATGCTTCTAACATGGCTATGGATTTATTTTCAAGCATAGTTTAAAGGAAAAATAAACATTTACCTCCATTGCTCCTCCAAAGCCAGAATTATAACCTGGATGTCTGACTATTTCTTCATTGGATAAATTTGGGTGGATGGATCCATACTGCAGATCTCAATTTAATAAATATCCAGTATTTTCCAAGGCATGCATTCTTGCTAGTTACTCCTACACTATCCAGAAGAATTGCTATTGAATAAAATGAGGCATTGCCTTCTTCCTCTAGGCTGAACAGGCTGGGAGGAGCCAGAGCCAAAGTAGAAAAGAATGGATCACAGGTTCTGTAGAACTTTATTTTGTTTTCTTTACAGGTTATCTGGTTTATGAGTTTGACAAATTTTGGTTTGAAGAAGAACCAGAAAGTATTATGCACTTCAACCACTATAGGGAGAAATTCCATGAAAAAGTTAAAGGACTTCTTCTGGACTATAACCTAGTACTAACCTTACAGAATATAAAGAAACCATAGCCGCATCTGCAATCTACCCAGTTCTGCTCTTAAAATGGAATTATGCATTCTCATGGAATTCTCACACTTCACCAAAAAATTTGTTTAATGATGTAACTTTTTATACATATATTTTTGAAAAAGCTCAAATTCAGTTATGAAAGCTTGGACAATCAGCCACTGTTTACAGGTCTTATATGCTATTCTCCAAAGGAAAACTTAAAAAAAAATCCCATATTGAATCTTTTGCCCTCACAACTTTCTTACACCTCTTGGTGCAGGAACATGAAGTAGGTATTTATGCTGCACTATGTTATCTTCGTTATGTAACCTATTACTAGGTTCCTTTTCTACCATTAACTGTTGATTAGTTATCTTTAAGAGGGGAAATTGCTTTGGTTTTAGATTTGTTTCTCAAGCCCTGTCCCCTTGTTGTTTATCTGCACATAGCTTGTGGTCCATAAAAGTTTTAAACTTCTCTGTGTAAAGAGGTCCATGAAGATGATGTAACAATTATTTGTGACTTGGAAGAAGAGGCTTCATTTATTTGTATTTACACATAAGAACAAACATTGTTCTGGTTGAAATGATCCTCCCTCCAGGAAATAATTACCCACACCCCTGTGCCTGGAAGGAACTTCCCTCAAAAATAATAACAAAATAGTGTAAGGCCAAAGTCCCTTTTAACAAGGAGATCTTTCATGTCACATGCTGCCATAAATATTTTCCAGCTCTCAATCCATCTCTTTTAGTTTGGGCTACAGTTTTTCAGGCTGACTTGATTCTGTATCTTTTTTTGGCCCATTCTCTCTTCCCCCTCCCCCCCAATGTTTTCTGAATGGGGCGTAATATCTAGGAGAATTACTTAACCTCTTTTTGTAGTTTCATTATTTCCCACAAAACTTCATTGCTGCTGCAATCCATGATTTGTGAAGGTAGCTGGAACTCTTCTTCACTTCATCCATACTTCCAAGGAAGTAGGGGTGCAACTTTCATAGGATAAAAGCATGTTTCCAAATTTGGGCATTCTAGACAATCCAGGCACTAGGAGTTGGTACCTATAGCAGTTTGTGATGACTAAGCATTGTTTAAAATGTTAAACAGGCTTGGCATGTAACTTTTTTTTTTTTTAAAGCCTACTATTTAAATAAAGTGCCTTCTGCTAAATTCAGTCACTGTTTAATTTGATCCTCCATTTAACCTGAGCAGAGCTTCAGAAACCTCAGTTCTTTGGGGGCAGAGACTGTATCTCCCATATGCTTGAATATCACATGGTGCTATCATGATACAAATACAAAAATTAAACACAATGCTTTATTTTATCATCTCTGGAAGGCTTCATTGGTGGTTATGAAAAGTTATTCTGAAAAAAGGCCAACATTCTGAATGGGAGAAGGAAAGAAACAAAGGATGATCCTTGTGATTTTAAAAAAAGATAATTGGAAGATATTCAGACCGTACACTATAAGTATTATTGTATAGACTGTGATTTCTATCACTCCATCCCCTCATTCCTCTTGATCTACATGAACAACATGGTCAGCTGCTTATTGCAGTCAAAATGATAGTAAAGAGCTTGACTAAAGTAGAGAGCAATTATATTGACAAAAAAGTTTTGTTCTTAAAATCTGTTACAAATAGGTGAGGTTTTAACATCATGTGAGCTCCATCTGCCAGAAGGTGGAGGGAGATAAAAATTTATCTTCATATTTGCATTTGCCCATTACCGTTATACTTGAAATGGTGCAGTGAGGGGAAGGAGTTTGGTTGAAAAGGAACTGATGCAATATGCACAACATATCCTTTCTGGGCATACACTACAATAACTCTTAATTTGGCAAAATCTGTTTTTAAATGTGGTACATTTTGTCCTGCTACACTGTGTGCATGCCTTTCTGGAAGCATGCTGGTACTACAGTGATGATGACTATAAAGGTACCTTGATAGCAGAATTAACTCTTTCTTCAGGATTTCTGCAAATAAGTTTTGCTGGTTTCAAATTTACTTAATATAGTGAAAAAAATATAACTGCTAGTGATCAAAAATATAGAAATAGAGCTCTAACAAATGTGGATTAAAGTATGATTTCATTCATGAAAGACTTATTCCATGTTTTTCACCACAATATAAATACAAGTGAAAAATATGAAGCGCTTGCAATTGGATGATTAGAAACTCCAGATCACTTTAATTCCTTGATTTTGAAAACCTGCCTCATCACCAAATAAACAGTACATTTGAGGTGGTAGATTTCTCCCAAAAGCATCCTTACTTTATTTTTACAAGACTGATTGTAATTGTCCTTGTAGCAACTGTAACACTGTATCCCAGTTCTTGAAAATTTACCAGACACCCATTAGGTGGACATCTATACCTACTACAAAAGATAGATGTAAAATATCATAGGCAGGGGAACACCACTAGCAAGAAGCCTACTTTTTCTGCCACCCCCAGCTGCTGGGAATTTCATAATGGTGACCATTAAAATGGTAGCTGAGCACCTATACTCAAGGTCCCAGGATTCCTGTCCTGGTTTGGGGCACCATCTTTGGTTTAGTCTGTGGCTATTAAGTGTCTTGTAAGTTTGGAAAGTCCCATAAATAATGTTCAGGTGGAGGGTCAGATCTTTAGGGTTCTGCTTTTTCCCCCCACCTCCTGGCTGCTAAGGAATGAACTCTTCACGATTCTACCTGGCCCCCAGTTTCTATATAGTTTCTCCACCTTAAATAACTCTATTGCTTACCTTGTTGCTGCTGCTCATAGTTTTCCTCAGGAATAGCAGCATGAAATTGATATGATGTTTGAATTTCACTGAGGACAACAGCTTGCTGAACGGAATCAGTGAAACTGGCCATATGATTGTTAATTTCACTGTGCTGCTGTTTGGCAAAGATACAAGCAGCAACAACAGAGGAGCTGGAGCCAACTGGCTGCAGAGCCAAGCAATCCAGTTTTGTCATCCTTACATTTGGAAGATTTTTTTTGCAACTGTAAAGGCTAGAAATGTAATTGGAAAAAAGACAACCTATAATTCCACAGAAATTGGTATGTTAAGCTCCTTTACTCCCAGGAAGAACTTCCTGCTTGCCATTAGCGAAAGGATTTTTCAAGCCCTGTCCTATGCAATTTCAGATTTCATACAGCACAAAAGAAATCTGAGCTAAGGCATCTTGGGATAGAGCCTAGACCAGGGATTCTCAAACTTTCTTGCACCGTGACCCCTTCTGACAACAAAAATTACTACATGACCCCAGGAAGGGGGACTGAAGTCAGAGCCCCGCCGCCCTGGGCAGGAGGCGGGGAGAGCAAAGTCCAAGCCCCACTATCCCGGGCAGGGGCCCTGTAACCTGAGCCCTGCCACCCAGGGCTGAAGTCGAAGCCCAAACCCCACTCCCCAGGGCTGAAGTCTTTGGGCTTTAAAGTTCGGGCTTCGGCTTTGGCCCCAGACCCCAGCAAGTCTAAACACCAGCCCTGGTGATCCCATTAAAACGGGGTTGCGACCCACAGTTTGAAAACCACTGGTCTAGACTGAGTTCAGTCGAAGGTTTGTCATCACTTTTTAAAATCAAAACCATGAGCTGAAAATCATGACAAAACCCAAATTAAGAATAAAGCTACCATCATTAAACATGGAAAAGCTATGTAGTCAAATGTATGGATGTTAGGTCACATATAATAATTGTTTAAACTGAGTGTATTCTATATTTTTCTAGTTCCCAGTGTATTGTTTCCTGAGCATTTAAAAACTAGAATTTGTATGCAGTTTTGTACTATTAAGTACATATTTTGCATGTAGCAGGTTAATTGTATGTATTGGCAACTAGTTAGGATAGAGTGTAAAAACAGCAAAGATTGTGTGTGGGGTGGGTATTTGCTAGAGGCAAAGTTGTCTTGCAAAGTCTAGTTAACAAGATTTTATATTAACTATTGAATTCATACTATGAAATGACAATCCTAATTTAACAGATGATATAGACTGGAACTGTGCAATGACCTGTTTAACTGGATGTAGTCAGTTTGCATAGCATTGAAACTAATTGTGAATACTTGGTTACAAAGCATCCCTAAAATTAAAGTTTTGGTTAAAGTCCCTGTTGCTTTTATAATACTGTTTATTAGATACACCTCAAGTTTTAATATATGTATTTGACAATTCTTGGAAATTTAACACAAAATAATTTTTCTAACTTTTCTCCCTTTTAACATATTCATGGGACATTGTCAAGTAAAGTTTGGCCTTAAAGTAACATTGTGCAAAAAGCCAATTTTTTTCAAATGAAATTTAAGACCAACACAAGTGCTTCTATTTTTAAATTTTCCATAGAACCTATTTAACAAACTTTCCACTACATTTTTTAAACATGGTGTTACTCCATGAGAAAATTAAACTGAAATTAACTACAGGTTTCAGAGTAGCAGCCCTGTTAGTCTGTATCCGCAAAAAGAACAGGAGTACTTGTGGCACCTTAGAGACTAACAAATTTATTAGAGCATAAGCTTTCGTGGACTACAGCCCACTTCTTCGGATGCATACAGAGTGGAATAAATATTGAGGAGAAGCTCACCAACAAAGAAAGGTGAAAACTCTTTGTATGGGGTAAGAAATTCGAAAGTTAATAATTTAATTGGGGAAGACACACACGAGATATTTTAAGTCTGCTTTAATAGCTTAAGGTGGTGGTAACACTAAGGATATTTATTTTTAAATGTGCATTATAAGGTTGACATTTTAAGTGGAATAAGCAATGTTGAAAGATGAGTTCAATTGCAGAACATTTGTGCAGACTTACCCTTTTAAACTGGAATTGCTAGATAGCAAAATGAAGACATACCTTAATGAAAAAAGTTTCTATGCTACTGCTGTTTCTGATAAACCAATATGGAGGATCATTGGGATGTACACTGCTCAAGCACTCTAGAGGAACAAGCTAATCTAATATTTCCATGCACGGGCATGCTTGGTTTTCAGTCTCTGAACAAATGAGCAGTTCTCACTTCTTCATATTACTCCAGCTCTTGCCTAACTGAAGAAGTCTGTTTTCAATAAATGTTCTATAAAACATCAGTATAAACTTTTGTTTAGATGTATTGTGATGTGAGAACGTTTTCTGTTTTCGTTGGAGGAGGTTTGCATCCTGTACCACTGAAAAATTTGTTAATGTGTGATGAAAATGTAGTTCTTTTTTCACATCATAGTCCTATTCTTATGGTGCTATAATATAGCCTGAAATGGCATTTCATGTCCTGCCAAATTTATGGCACTGTCTGTTACTGGAAGCAGTAGACAGTAGGAAAGTTGGTCAGTAACTTGTCACTACTGTGCAATGAGATAACTGTACACTAAAAGAAAGGTCAACATTTGCCCCAGTATAAAGCAATAATGTAAACTGTGATGTCAATATGTTGAGCACAAGTGTTAGAATGATAATAAATAAAGAACAAAACATCCAAACGTTCACAGTGGCAAGATATCCATATTGCTTTGTAAGAGCTTCCTTTCCAGTTTGCCTTGTTTTCTCCTCACTGTTAGCTTGCAGTCAGTTCAAAACGAAGCAGTTGGTTATTGTCTTTTCCCTAATGTTTTATATTGGTTACCTCTATGAGTGAGACCTAGTCTTAGCATTCCCTTAAGGCCATTTATACCAGTATTCCTTCAGTCATGGGACTTGATTTAAGTTTGTTTGTTTACCACACCTCTATGCCAGGCAATTGATAATTTGCTGCTGTTTTCAACAATGTAGCTCCTTGGATTTAAGATGAAAAGTTACATTGGAAACAGGACAAATGTGGTCCATATCACAAATACCAGACAATTGGCTCTAACTGCTGCCTGTGCTGGCAGTCTCAGCAGAGAGACCAAGAAACAATAGGCATTCAAACTAAAATACTCTCACACCAAAGTAATGCTTCCAAGTCAGGGTTACGGCACTCCCTCGTCAATGAAGGTGATTCTTCATACACCTCCCTTCCTCTTTTGAGGAAGTGGATCCAAACACTTCTTCCTCCTCACCATCTAGGGGAAAGAATGCCTCCATCTATGCTTCTATGAGGGGGTTGATCCAAACAATCTTGCATGGGGGAAGTGTTTAGGTCACTGTTCTGGAGGGGGCTTCCTCCTAGATCTCCATGCGCTTCATGGCAGAGCACAGATGCAACGGGCACAGAGCAGGAGACCCAAAAAGGCTATTTGGGGCAGGGCCTGTCTTTGTTCTGTGCATGTACGATCCCTCACACAAGGGGCTCCCGATTCATGACTGGAGCTGCTAGCTGCTATGATGATACAAATAAACAAGGAGCAAACAGCAGAAAATGAGAAGAAACTCCTCAGCAGTAGCCACTAAAGAGACCAGTAGAGATCAGAGCGTGCAAAGCAAGTACCCCAGCTACTTGGTTACCTCAGACTGCCCTGCACAATAATTTGACATGCTGTTATGCCAGACTTAGCTACAGTGGCCCTGGTAGTGAGTAGCAGTGCCCTACTTGCTTATGCACCTAACATACTCTGTTTGGGTACTGTTTCTGATATTAAGTTGCCCAAGACAGCTTCTGAAAAAGTCTCTGTTTCAAGGCCAAGTACAGAAGTTATCACACTGGGGACTGAGAAAATCCTTTTGTGAGCTGGAGGAGACTTTACTTTGGGTAGGCAGCTCCATCTTTGGAGGGAGTGTGTGTTTTTTAAAAAGTCCCATTAAAAATGCACCCTCCCTGACGCGTACCTGTCAACAACTGCACCCTGTGTGAGTAGGTTTCTCTTCACTTCATATTCTACAAGAGGCTTAGCAATGAATCATGACAGTGTGTGCATTAGCAGGCTACAGCTGCGCCTCTCAAATATGTTGAGACACACAAGGCTGAAATGAACAAAGTAATGGATATCAGAAAACTTCCAAGTGACTGATTTTTTTTATAAGTGAAATATCAGGATTTCCCTCATCATAATAGCAATTTTCATGGAGGTTAAGGTTTGGATTGTCTTTGAGTGTCTGCCCATGTGGATTCCACCCTTCATGTGCCCCACGGGCAGGAGCTTGGAATCTTTTAACCAGCAGTGTCCATTGGGGCCGTGTGTGCGCCCTGCATGCCCTCCCTGCCTGCCCAAGGGCATAAAGGACAGAGTAACCCCATCCACCATTCAGGTCTTTCTTATTGCCTGTAGCGCTGAGATGGATCAACCTCAGTGTCCTTTGAGCTCTCTAGAAGTTCTTGTTACATCGTGTGATAATGTAGGCAGTTTTCTTTTGATACCTTTAGCCCTTTGGGGAGGAAAAGGAGTAAGTGCCTTAGTACCAGGGTTACCATCCCTTTGTCCAAATCTACAAATCACCACATTTCAAAACCTGCCCATCTGCAATGCAGCTATATCTTTTAATGACTGACATGCCAAGTGGGCAGGCCATATCCCTGAAAAATGTTCAGTTCATACATCATTCTCAAAATGTACCCAAAAACCTGTGAGGCATGCTTACAATTAATTTTGATAGAGAAGTAGATAAAGGCATTTGACTTAGTTCTTTCAAGGAAGAAATCTCCTGTTTCTGCCTCAAGACCACAGTTCACTAGAGCTTTGTCCTCTCGAGAGGTTACTCCAGCTTCTGAAGTCCCTAAGCATAATTGCTGTGCCCTTGGAGCAGTCAATTGCCCCTGCTGTCGGAGGAAGAAAATAGCACTGCTCGAAGCCTAACACTTGGCATCAATCCCTGTGTCTGATACATTCTAAAAAGAGGTTTGACTCATCAGTCTCTGAACAGTAGAAGTATTAGCTGAGTCAAGTACTGCTTCTGCTCTGGCTCCACACTGATTAAAATTGGTCACTGGTCTTCTACATCATTAATTTTGGTAGAGACTGGGAAAAAGATCTTCTGCATCAGAACCACTTCATTCGGTGCAAATACCTTCTACTGTGACTACTTCTACAACTTACAGGGATTTGAGAATCATTCCAGAGCTTGAATCACTAATCCTAGATGTGTCTCCATTGTCAGTGGCCTCAAAGCCTGATTTGGTAACAGAACCAGATATTTTGAAAATGGGGAGTTCTCTGGTAGATCTGTTAGCAACCAACAAGAAAAAGAAATGTTTCAAGTTTTGCTCTCAAATTTTGAATTAGGGCCCCATATCAATTGCCTTTCTGATTCCATGGAGCAATCACCTGATGTATGCTTTTCTACCTTTTCCCTTAATTCATGGCATCTTTCAGAAGGCAAGTCAAGACAGCGCACAACTACTTCTCATAGTTCTAACTTGGCCACTTCAGTTCTAGTTCTTAGATCTGCTGCATCTGTTGAGTCAACCATTCATCAAACTTTCAGGACATAATTTCACAGAACCAGTGTCTAGTTCTTCATCCGGACCTTTCCTCTCTACATCTGCCAGCTTGGATGCTGGCTGACTGCTGTGGATAGAAATTCTGCAGAGGTTCAGGATATTCGTATTCAGAATAATAATCCCTCCACCAGACTGACATAATAGTAAGTGGAAGCGTTTCTCCCTTTGGGTTACTCAGTGTCACCTTTATCTGGAGGAGACTTCCATTCTTGATATTTTGAACTATTTATTGTCTTCTAAGCCCTCTCGTCTGTCATTTAGTTCAGGGAGAGTTCACTTGGCAGCATGGTCTGCCTATCACACCCTACAGCATACACCCTAGAAGTGTTATCACTAAGGCTAAGATTTTGTCATGGATATTGTAGTAAGTGAAGGCCCTAATGAAGGCCCAGTATGAGGCCTGAGGCCTGAACCAAA